CGCGCGCCCATCGCCCCTGCCACCCCTGCTTCCAAAAATCGCCTGGCGGCCGTGGGAGCCCTCCCCTTGTGTTGTCGTCCCAGGCGGCGTGGGCATGGGCCCCGTAGGCAGGCCCAACTTTGCCCAGACCTTTTACTACTCGGGCACCCTGCCCATCAGCAACATGCCACAGGTGTGTGTGTGGGGGGCGGGGTGGAGGGGAGGGGGAGGGCAGGGCAGATGAGAGGGGGCAGCCACGCCCAGCCAGCTGCCTGCCCTGCTTCTGCACGCGCTCACACCCCTCCACCCCGCTCACCCCCGCCACCCACGCCCCCACCCGCAGAACTACCGCGCCGTGAGCAACACGTTTGGGTGGACGTCGCTGACCACGGCCCCCGCGGTGGGCGGCGCCGCCTCCGCCCCATCCCCAGACGCGCTCTCCCAGGCAGAAGACAACCTGTACAGCAAGCAGCGCTTCCCATACCCGCCCGTCGTCGTGGTGCCGGTCAGCGGCGGCGACGACGACGGCGCCGCCAACGGCACCAGCAGCGCGAGTGGTGGAGGCGGCAGTGGCGAGGACGGCACGGCCGGCGGCGGCGGCAGCGGTGACGGGCTGCCCGAGCGCGCGGTACTGGTGCCCATCAGCGCCATTGAGGGGCAGCTGGGCGGCGCGGGCAACATCTTCGACGGCCCGCTGCCCGCCGACGCCTCCAGCCAGCTGCCGGATGCCCAGGCGACAGCAGGCGGCGACGGCGGCGACGACGGCACCTCCGCTCCCACCGACGGCGCCGCCGCTGCGGATGGGTCCTCTGGCGGTGCAGGCGCTGGCTCCCAGCCCGGCAGCCAGGAGGCAGGCGACACCCAGCAGGACGGCGACGCGCTGCAGCAGTCCAGCGCAGAGGAGCAGGAGGGAGGCGCTGGGGAGACGGAGGGCGGTGTGGGTGGTGATGGCAGCGGGCAGGGGGAGGCGCAGGAGGAGGGGCAGGAGGGGGGCGGCGGCCAGGGGCAGCAGCCCAACCCTTTTGACCCCGAGCAGGTGGATGACCCGGCCTACCAGAACCCGCCGCCAGAGCCCGACCTGCCCCCTGCGCAGCAGCAGCAGCAGGTGGAGGAGCAACAGCGGGAGCAGGAGCAGGAGCAGCAGGGTCAGACGCCAACGCCAGAGGGCCAGACGCCCACACCAGAGGGGCAGGGCCAAACGCCGACGCCTGATGGGATGACGCCCACACCCGATGGCCAGACGCCGACGCCAGATGGGCAGACGCCGACGCCAGATGGGCAGACGCCGACGCCAGATTGGCAGACGCCGACGCCAGATGGGCAGACGCCGACGCCAGATGGGCAGACGCCGACGCCAGATTGGCAGACGCCAGATGGGCAGACGCTGACGCCAGATGGGCAGCCGCCGACGCCCGATGGGCAGACGCCGACGCCCGATGGGCAGACGCCGACGCCAGATGGGCAGACGCCGACGCCAGAGGGCGAGCCGCCCACACCAGAGGGGCAGACCCCGACGCCAGAGGGGCAGACGCCGACCCCCGATGGCAGCGGCAGCCCCTCCCCGCCCCCTCCCGAAAATGATGGCAGCGCCAACCCCACCGCCCCCAGCCCGCCACCACCCAACAATGATGTCAGCAACCCTTCCGGCCCCAGCCCACCGCCTCCCACAAAACTCGGCGGCGTGAACCCCACCACCCCCAGCCCTCCTCCACCTGATGGTGATGACGGCATCACTCCCACCAGCCCCTCCCCACCTCCTCCAAAAAACGACGGCGGCGCCAACCCCACCACCCCCAGCCCTCCACCACCTGATGGTGATGGCGTCATCACTCCCTCCGGCCCCAGCCCCCCG